GTATATGGTAAGACTGCTGTACAAATGTGTAATACCGAATGGACCATGTGCTTTATTGATTTATTGAAATAAAAAGTTCTAATTGTTCATCACTGAATTTTTAGAAATCCTGATTTCTGATTTTGATAATWGTTTAGTTTTCCGCTGTCTGTATTTATATTTCATAATGATATTCGGGCACTAAACTAATGTTCAAAAAATGTAACTAAAAATCAATTTACGATAATGGTTAAACGAAATTTGATGGATGGGGTGGTCTATAAAATCATTCTACGTTTATTGGATGGTGTAAAATAGACAACCCTTATTGTCTTCAAAAAATTACATATCGCGCGATGTACTATTATTGAACTCGCTTAGACTGTTTTGCTATAAAAAAAAAAAAACCATTATTGGCTTGGTAGGTACTTATGAGTTTGTAATCAGAATTTACACAATTGTAGATTAAAAATTACAATATGGAAATATCAGGTTCGTTGAACCGCGTTAGAGTGAATAATAATTCATTACGTAATAACAAAAATAATAATTACATAGGTATTTTTATAAATTTGTTGCGTCCTAATTCAGGTTTACACGCATGGCGAAAGCGTTCATGTGACGATATGTATACGAAACAGCAGCAACAAGATGGTGAAAAAAATAAGAGTACTTATCCAACAGATCGTGGACATAGTCATATTCCAAAACGGACAGTGCAGAACAACTTTAGCTGCCGTCGAAACTCAGTGAGTGAACTTTACTGATATTCATTACTACATGACTATTACCGATTTGCAYAAAAAAAATATTAATTTAATGGTTTACTAAAATGTAATAGACCAATAATTGGCCGCTCAATCAAGTTTAAGGAACTATTAGCTCACTATTGATTCATACAAATGTATAGTGATTGTTTTTGCGACTAGCATATAAGTCATTTTACTATATTTTCGAACGTATATTTATTTCTCATGTCAAATAATGTACGAGTATTATAATTTATAATACAATTTAGGTGGCTTGGTGAGGCGCGGTCGTACGCTCAATCTGCGGAAACGCACTGAGCGTACGTACCGGCCGCAGTTGCTAGCTCCCGGATGGGTGACCACCCGGGATTTTTAGCAACATATCCTTGCCACACTTACACAAACACGTGTTGCAACCCTACCCAATTAAAAACCTACAAACAAATATACAAAAATAATCCCTACTGTACCACCCCACACCCAATGGC